ATCACGGACCAATGTTCAAACTCAATCATGCTCTTTGTGCTGCTGCTTTTGGCTAAAAGCCCCTCTGGGACCTGCCTGCGTTAATTCCCTCTCTTCTCTTTCCTGTCATTTGCTTTTGGATCTACTTTCTACTCTCTCCCTCGTCAAACTAATTCCCATAAGTGTAACACAATACTCCTCCACGGTGGAAAACAGTAATTTCTTCTTTCGTTTACTGTTGCGCCTCATGACTGAATGAATAATCACAATTCTTTTGAATAAAGAGAATTTCTCCGCATGAATAGCGAGAGGGAAGGGCAACCGAGGAAGATAGAAAAGATTTTTGTGGTGCAAGATGATGGCCACTTTCCGGTGCACGAGGAGTGGTCCTGAACCTGATGACTGATGAGTGATGATTTGCTGGATCAATGTGCTTTTTGTAAATACACATTGCCTATCATGTGTCGCTCTCGTCCTTTAACCCTACCTTATCCTCAGCTTGAATATTGAATCATGATTGATTCCCCCTTTTTCCCCTGAAAACTTACTGTACCAAACAAAGCTTCGTCAAGTTTTTAAATTCACCGGGTCTTAATTTACTTACACAAACAAAGTCACCTCGATATATACTCAAATGATTGAACCGGACAAACGCTTTGTGTGAAAGTCATCGTCGTACCCATAAGTAAACCTAACACACACTCCTATAGTATAATACCAACATTGACTACTTAATAATTAAACAAGACATTAATGATGTAACCTTGGGCATTCCAAGAAACGCACAGGCACGTTTCTAAATGGGTATGAAAATAATAGAGTACAGGAAGGAGAAACTATTGCAATTGCCGTGCAACAGACCAGTATAACGAAACTACTCTTAAGAACAGTATTCTTTAACAAGACTCAAAAACTATCCGCTGCTTACAACATAAACAAGTCCGTTTACATAATCAAAGGGGGTAATAAAATGAAAGCTTCTGCGGGGGCAGAACAGAATGAAGAAGGGTGTGGGCGTGGAGCCTACCGTACCGTATCGGAACCGTGAAATCGGTGCCACCGCGTGGGCTTGAGGCCCGCCCACAGGTGACGTGGCCGAGTGTATAGTGTGTATATGTGTTTGCCCTGTTACAGAACTGACATACACGTACTAGTAACAAATTTATTTTACGATGCCTAAAATTTCAGTGAGCGGCAAAGACACGGGCCCGGGCCCGAAACTGAGTCATGTTGATGTGGGGCCCGGCTACCATGCAAACTGGTTGGTAGACCAGCCTGTGCGTGGGGCCCTTTCATAAATGAAAAGTTTCGTCAGTTTCTTTCCCCATTGAACGTGGAAGTTATGTTACGTTGCAGGGCCGAGTCAGTGAAGACAAATAAACCATTCTAGAGTGGGGATTGCCTCCGTCCATTGGGGCTTCAGTCTCTTGGTTCTCGTAATAATCAATGAACAATCTTCTGTCTCAGACAGTACCAACATTCAATGACCTTCAACCAAATTCGCTCGCCCTACAGATTTAGTATTAATTAGCCGTTACTCGAAACAAAATTGAAACTAGATCCTCCTGAGTAAGAACATAAGAGTAAACTTCTTGTGGCTTCCGTCAAAGGATGAGATGAGATAACAAGTATTGAATCACTATAGCTGATCAGCCTCGAAGCAGCCTTTTTCATGTGGTCCTATATATGTGTATATGCTGCAAAACTATATGACAGTTCCCTGATATATAGCTAGCTTAGCGTGGTCCATTCACAAGACCTCATGCTTAGATCTGGGAAACCGTTCAGTGTCTACCATTTTATCAAGGGGCTAGTTTAGTAAATTGAATAAAATGACAGTGACGTTGCCGTAAATATGAATATATGATTGAAGATCAGTGGATCTGTTTTTCAGTGGCAGGCTTGGGGCTATAAGTGCGACTGTTTTTTTGCTATAAAATGAGCCTATAAATACTGTCATATCATCTCATTATCTTAATGTATATCCCAAAACGTTACTTGGGATTATATACGTTGTTGTGAAACTTTTGGCGTGTATATGCAAGAAATTACCAGGCTATAGAATCCTCAAAGAAAGCAGCTGGGATTGGCGGTTGCAGCAGATCAGCCTAGGATAAAGAAAACATATCCTGGGAGGTTTGTTTCTTCTCAAATAAGAAGACAGATATTAGGTGACAAGTGATTGTTGCTTTGTAAGTTGAATCTTCTTGTTTTGGATTTTACGGCAAAAAGGTGACACTGAGGGGTTGTTTTTCCTTGTACAACAATATAATACAATTAATCCTGTTACACAAGTTTATTACATTTACATATATAACATCAATTACCAAAGCGTGTATGTTCTGGAACTCCGGATTTGGGCCTTTTCTGATGTGTTAGCAGCCGAAGAACAGTAGAATTAATTTAACCTTCGATAGAAATTTGGAAATTAAGCAGGAGAGTATTGATTATGTAATTTATGATTCTAACTACAGTCCATAAGCATCAGGCAAGTACGCAAGTTATTTTGCCCGTCTAAGACAGAAAAAAGCTTCCGTTTTTTTATCCTCTTTTTTCTGTGCAGTATCCGTAATATCAAATCCACCAGAAAAGCTGCCTCATTCGTACAAGCAATACAAGTCATAATTGTCCGAAAGTTTTGACTTAATTTGGAACTCATAAATTTTAGTAGAGTGGTTCAGTTTGAACCCATCCTGATCAATTCAATATCATTTTGATCATATCAAAATAGATTTTATTCCGATTCAAAAATAATCGAGACAGAATTTTATTGGACGAGATGAAAAAGGGTTCGGGATGGGACATGATACAAGATTATCATTGGGACGTCTCGTCCTGTCCCAAATATATATATATATATATATATTATTTTTTATTTTAAGTATATTAATTATATTAATATAATTTATAATTATATTAATTATATCAATTATAATTTCAATACTTGCAATTTTTATTTAAAATTAAAGTTTTTTTATATTAATAATTTCAATGACATTGAGTAAAATGATGATATCTTTCTTTATAATGTATTAATTATATTGATATAATTTATTCTTATATATATCTATTTAATAACTTTTATTTATAATGTATTTCTTGCTTTATTTTTAGAAAAGTAATTAGCTTAGTACATCTCTACTAAAGTAGAAGAATAATGATTTGATGTTGTACTTAATTTGCCTGTTGTTGCTACTTTTATATCCTAAAGATCACTTATATTTGCTATTATAATGTGTAATTGTGATTAATATAATTCAATAATTGACTTTAAATTGTTGTGATTTATGTACTTGTGTTGTTTTTATTTTAAACTTAATAAATCATATGATTTAAAATTTTAATAAACGATATTATCCAGATCTTTCTTCTATATTATTTGATTTATCGGGATGACGGGATGTCATGATCTTGTTTCTGTCCCGTCCTGACTCCTAATAGAAAGGGACAACTTTCGGGACGGGACGGGATATGAGACTAAAATTCAGTTTTGATTTTTTTTTGAGATGGGATATGGGACGGGGGTGTCCTAGTCCCGTTTTGTCCCGTGAACACTCCTAAATTTTAGAAATCTTGCCGCCCCATGGATTCAATTATTACACTTCCCTTTCTTTTAATTTTCTCTAAACGTGCATAGGCCCATGTTATCTGCTGCTGATGCCTCTGAGCATATAAATATTATAATGATCCCGTCCTCAATTTAATTTTGCTGGAATTTGAACGGCTCGTATCAACATCAGACTCAATAATCTAAATTATTTTAAAGGATAATTTGATTATTGAAAAGTTAGTTATTCATTGGTATGAGTTTCATATTTAAAATTTGGTTGTAATTTTATCTTGTGGGGACTTGAAAAGAAAAAATGGCCACAAAATAAATGAGCGCACAATTCAAATTCTCTTGAGAACTTCAATTAAAAAAAAAAAAAAGAATATGAAAGACATAGAACACAGGCAATAAGAGAGTCGTGGAACATTATTCTGTTAGAAAAACACACTGACTTGTCCATGATACTTTCCTTAATTAATCTCAGATGAGATTAGAACTTGAGAACTTTCATTTAGTAGCTGGTAGCCTGACAAGTTTAAATCATCTTTGATTAAAAAATAAAAAAATCATCTTTCTAATTTCATGAGAAAAAGGGCAGAAGATAGAAGTAAAGTAGTACTCCACTGCAGGTATCAATTTCATTATCTTTTTTTAAACAAGAAACTTAGGCGAATTAAATCCAAGGTTCACCATGGGCAAGATAATCCTCGTAATTCAAAAACCACTTACAAAAATATTTATAAAATACTTATCAGCGATATTCTCACATATGAAAAATAGGATTTGAACTTTACACCCTTGTGAAATATAACTGGCATTGACTTGCCAACTGAATTAACAATTGTTGCCTTAAGTTATAAGTACGTAGGACTTAGAACACATCTTTTTTATTTTTTGCATTAGGTAAATTTGCTTTAGATAAATTAAAAAGTTGAGAAGTTTAATTAGAATGTCAATGCATAACACCTAATTTGCATTTGGTTCGCATTTTTTGGGTCAAATTTTCGCCTCTAGCCTTTCTATCACACCCATTAAGTATGTAGCAGGTGCAAAAAGCCCTTTTATAATCAAGTCAAGTATCTGGCAAATTAAAATTGAAATAACCATTGACGGTTTAAATTAGTTTTTCCCCCACTTTTGCTACCAGTATATTTTTATACTGTGAGCATTTCATATCATCAATATATGTATAAAAGATGTAAGAAGTTACCAATGTTTGCATTTAATAAATAGTTCAGTTTATTTTGAGTTCTATATATGCTAATGTATGAGGCTTACTATAATCAAAACTGAACTGAGGCCATATATATAATAGACCAAAAAAAAAAAGAATATTGCTTTCAATAATTCGTATAGCAATATATGTGTAAAACAATACATTGACAAAAAAAAAATCTTCAAATAAAATGGAAGGGCCGTGCAAAGTTGACTGTTATTTATGACAATCAAACAATGGTTTTCTCCATGCACATAAGAAATATAAGCTCCTGTTATTCTGGTGATTAATCAGTTCAAGTCCTATCAAATTGAAGTACAACCCTTGAGTACATATATAGAGGGGAAAATATGGAAATTAAAACAACCTACTATACAATTATACAAGCTAGCTGGCTATAAAGTAACGCTATGTTTCTCATATTGTATCCCCATTTTTCTTTTCTCCAATAACAATGCAAATCTAAGAGGGAGGAACAGGAGAGAATAAAAGTGAAGAAGAAATTAAAAATGGTTTCCCTTTTCTCATAATATAATAAGAAGCTTCCTATAGATCGAATATGATTTAATATGTAATATATGGAAAGTTCAAATGCCTCCAAAGTCTCTAACAGAGAAAGGAGGCGCTTTCTCAGGGATGTTCCCGGCGTGGCGTAGCCCTAGGGTGAGCGAAACATCACCGGCGGTGGTCCCAAACCTAATGAGAGTAGAAGCAATGTCAGAATTACCAGAAGCGGTCCCGTAATCTGCTGCAATGAGGCTGCCATGGCGACACGTGTCATCTGCAACCATTGATCTGTGCGGGGGCAGGTCTGAGTCATAACACTGAGATGCCGGTGGCGCCACCTCAGAAGTGGCGGCAACTGCGGCGGTTGGAGTGGTGGTGATGGCAGAGGCTGAGTGGTTTGGTTGGGTTTCCGAGAAGGGCTGGGTATTGATTGCAATGAGTGAATGGTCGCTATCAGAAGCTTTGATTTGGGATCTTTTGCCTGCCGCTGTTGCTGCTGTTGTGAGTGTCGTTGTTGTTGTTGTTGTTGTGGATGGTGGTGGCGCTGTTGCTGTTGAAGTTGTTGCTGCTGTGGTTGGAGTTTGTGCGACGTTGCTGTTGCTGTTGCTTTGGTTCTTCTCTCCTCTCTCTTCTCCTTCTACTTCTTTAAGTTCTTGTTGGTACATTTCTTCTATCATAGGTTTCCACAGCCGGACCCTGGCATTAATGAACCAGTTTGATACCTGCACAAACATTCAAGTTTATATATATATATTCAACCTTCTACTACACATATCTATATATTCAAATAAATGTCCTTGTATAATCAATCACTGTTAATTAATTACTTCAAATCTTAAATGTCACTGAACAAAACTTCAAAACAAAACAACAGTTCTTGTTTATGAATATATATATGCATGTTTTGAATAGTGATGGCTAGTTATACTATATGTCAATTTGTCATATTTATAGAGATGATTTAACCCTTCATGAAGGAACTTAGAGTCTGAGTATAAATACAAGAAATTAATATGTGCATGCATGCAACGCTAGCTCACTCTTATAACATACAACATGCATGCATGCATAACACGAGAATTTTTGTTCATATTTTAATATATTGGTTTTTTATGTTAGGTGTACATGGGTGCGTGTTTATTTATTTTTTAAATTAAACATGAGTAATTTCTGACTCATTGTTATTTGTCCGTACGTGCGTCCTTAAACAGTGATGAGGCACCGAGGAATCTGCACCATGATTATGTGATAATGCTCTCAAACACAAGTGTGAAACTATTCATCAGTAGTTTCTTCTAACAAGCGACAGTGCTTCGAATGACCTGCTTAGGTCTTCGCTTCACTGACTAGCATGTATCTAGGCATGCATCCATGAGATGTAGGCAAATAGGTTTTTGTTTTCTTCCACCTCACCAGTTAATTACATGCATGTACTCTCTTCTGTTCCTCTAGCACACAAGGGCCTCAACTTCGATTTGTTTTTTTCAGGAAAAATACAAAGCACATTATTAGTGCATGGCACAAGATGGACAAAAATGATTAGGTTGATATAGAAAAAGGGTTCTCTATAACATAAATCGCTGTTACAACTTGAAATTTTGGTTTTTCAGGAAAAGTACAGAATGGTGATGATGTGAAAAAATGATGAGAATGATGCAGGAAGATTTTGTGCTAGTCTATGGAAAAGGACATAAATGATTAAAATGAAACGTCTGAGAATTAATTAACGAGGTAGCAGGTATGAAAGGAGCATATAAATAGCATTTAGCTGAAGATATCATGAAGGCACTCTCAAACTTTGAGGAAAATACGACGAGGGAGGATATAAATATCTCGCAAAATCACACATTTATTTGCCATATTTATGATTCCTCTTGCGGAGTTGGGTGAAGACATTTGATATGAGAGAGAAAACAAGTGCAGTGAGAGTGAAGGAGATTCGAAAACAGCAAACTTTCGTGTCTCGTTGCTTCTGTACTTATCTCTGCTCTCGTTTAATTTCAGAATTTATGTCACCAAGAAAGAATCCAAAGTAAAATGCTAAAATGTATTACTTTCACAAAAAAAAAAGTTAATTGAATGAAAAAAAGAGTAAAAAGAAAGAAAGAAAACAAGAAAACCTCGGTTGCGGTTGTCTTTGTCTAAAAGAAAGAAAGACAGTAGAAAGCAGAGAAACAAAAGCCAAAAGTCCAAAACCATGTAAGTTGCATCTGAAATTACTGCTGGTCCCTCTGTGTGTGTGTTCCATGTGCATGGATGTGGGCCGTGTGCTGAATTAAGCAACTAGCCTAAAAATATTGTCTCATTATTATAAGTTTCTCTCTCTAGGGTGAGTGAAGAAGAGGGGGGAGGCGAACCTGATTTCTCGAGAGGCCAGTCTGTCGAGCCAACAGATGCTTATCTGCATCGCTTGGATACCTGAGAAAATGACCAGGAAATGACATCAGAGTCCTTCCCTTAACAGTATAAAGAGACGCCGAGCTTTCTGTACCCTTCCCTAAGTTCCGACCTTTCCTTCTTTCCCTCCATGGGCGTGACAATCTAAGAGAAAGAGAGAAAGATCTACGTACGTCCTGGCTGCTACAACAGAAGCAAAGTTGATCACTGCACACACTGACCACTTTCCCTCTCTATCTCTATGGCCCCTTAATGATCACTTAATCTAGCGGGAAAGAAATTGAAGTTAGAGATTGCAGTTACACCCTATCATCTTTTACAGCTTTTCGCTCGCAAACAACATCCCAAGGACACTGCAATGTTACTGCATTGCTAGCTGTTGCTCTAAACGATGATCCAATACGGCTCTTGAATTACGGCTTTTCGATATGTTCACACCCCTTTCTCTCTGCCACTCCTTTTTCTCTTCGTTTCTTAAATAATCACAAGTCACGACCCCTGCTTTTCCCACTTAACCATCATGACATCGTTATGTTACGTTAATATCATCACAGCACGAAAAAAGGAAGGGGGAAAAAAATAGACAAAGTATGAGAGAGGACGTACGGATGAAGAAAATGCTCGAAGAGCCAGGCTCGCAGAATGTTGACGGATCGCTCGGGAAGGCCTCTTTGTGGTCGCCAGGCTTCTTGTTCCATCATGCCAATCTGGTGGAAGGCTCTCTGCTGCCTCAGGCTTTGTTCGAGAAGTTTCAGCCTTGGGGTCTCTCCTTTGGTTAAACCTGAGCTTCCTGCTCCGTCTTTCTCTCCCAGCAGCTCGCAACTGTGCCTCAGTTGCGCCGTTATCGCATCCTTCAGGCACCGGAAATGGCGAGACATCGCCTTCTGAGCCAATGCCGTGTATGGCACTGCCGAACCGAATCCCATCACCATGTCAAATGAGTTCACCACCATTTGCATTTGTTCGCAATAGTGGTTGTATCTCCGATCCACCTGCATATATACCCCAAAGTTTACTCTCACAACTTCTAAATGCACACTATGCATGCATAATTGTGGTTTTAACGTTTCTGATTCGCGAATGATAGCGTTAGATGATTAAATAATTAATGATATGTGTTGTTCATTAATATTGGTCTCAATTTATCGCAGACGAGGATATATAAGAAGCAATACATGCAAAATATAAAACGAAGGCTGAATTTATAGGTTGATGTATAATTAATTTGACGGGCAGATGAGGTACAGATATAATAAGTGGGAAATATCATAGATGTCTAGGTCGATCGAACATATCGAAAGATTCGGGGTACAAATAGTTCTTAAGGACGGAGGCAAGAATATCCTCTGGGTTTAAAGTGTCTAAATAATTCTTTTTAAAAAATGAAAAAGAAAAATAATAATTAAAGGACAAAAAAAAAGAAAAAGAAAAAGGAAGGAAGGAAGGAAGGAAGGAAGGAAGACCCACGCGTTGCTGGTCAACTGAGATATGATAACAATGGCTGATGGATCACTTTTAGGAAGAAGAGAAAGAAGAGAGGTGGGAATGGCAATGGCATTCATAACAACTAATTCCTACGTTATATGGGTGAGTGGGATTATATTGGGTTCTATCTATCATTTAAACTTAATTTAGTAATAAGAAGGAACGTCGCTTCTTCTATAATGGAAGCCTCACTCTCTCTCATGGTTTTCACCAAACGAATCTCTAATCATCCCCACCAATCAAATGGAAGCATTAAAATAATGAATAGGTTTCTAATAAAATAAAAGATTAATCAAACACCTGCCGACTCATGCTATGGAACCCTATTATAGTACCCGCCGGCCTTTTTCCCCCTTCCTGGTTTATATAATAATTCAAGATACCGGCCGGAGAACTGTGCGTTGATAAATTGCTCACTCTTGTAGCTTAATTTTATTAATGGAGTAAATAGAAAGAAGAATAAAGATTGGGGTGACCTTGACTCTTTAAGGATGAGAGAGGTTGAGAGAGAGAGAGAGAGAGAGAGAGAGAGATGACATACCTCGTCAAGCATGGATAGGAGTTTGACCTTCCTTCTCTGATGCTCAATCCTATCAGCCGACGACAAAGGAGGAGGATCCTTTAATGAAGATGAAGAACCGCCACCGCCGCCGCCAGGATTTGAACTAGGGTTTGAGTTTTGCCTGGTGAACTTGTTCCTCTTGAACTGCCCTCTCCCAACACTGCAGAATTCTTCGAGCAATTCTTGCGCGGCCTTCACGTACTTTGAATTCCTCAGCACATTTACCACCCCTAATGATGACCCGAACCCCACATGTCCCTGGTGGTTCTGAGCGACTCCGACGGGCCCTTGGAAATGCAATGTCTTATACGGATACTGAGCCGACGAAGACCCTCCGGATCCTCCTTGGTTGTAATACAGAAACCCGCTGTCTCCCATCCTCAGTTCCTCAGCTTTCGCGGCTTCCAAGTGTTGCAACGATGATGATAAGGATAAGGAAAGACCTTGAGCTTCCATAACCCCTCCAATTTGAGGCGGATTAGCAGTCGCGGCCGCTGCTCCTTGCTGGGAACTATGAGGAGCCCATGTGAATTGACCGAAACTCCCTCCCTGAGCACTGAAGCCTTGGAGAGAAGACGAATTAGGAGTGTGGTTCTGAGTAGGAGAAGGCGATCTCGTTTGCGGGTTCATCAGAAAAAGCTGCATGGCGGCAGCTGAGTGCGCATTCATGCTTGAAATCTGAGGATGAGGATGATGATGCTCTAGCATACCACTATTGTCACGGCTATTCTGATTCTTTGAATCTCCCAACCCGCTTAACATCCCTTGTCTGTACCAATCGGTGGCCAGAGGTTGCGACCTGGAGGTCCGATACATGGCCGTCGCCGGTTGGTGCTGTTGTTCCAACAATTCAGTGGCGCTAGCGCCGGGAGGAGGGAAATTGAACATCTCGGATAACATTCCTCCGGTTTCATACACGGGAAGGTTTACAGATTCTTCTTCCTCTATGCCCACAAGAGGCGGCGGCGGGTCCAACCCACCTTGTACCCTCACCTTGTCTCTCCGGATCTGCTGCGCTAACTGTTGCTGCTGGTGCTGCTGCTGTTGTTGCTGGTGCTGGGTTAGAGTGGATCTCTCGTACCCATTCGAGAACGTGAAGATTCCCTGGTGATAATCTTGGGACATAGAATTGGAGTCTAATATGGAAGAAAAGGAATGCTGGGGCTTGGTGGAGAGTGAGAGAATTGGCGGCAGGACTGGGGGTGTTGCTATTCCCATGTTAAAAACTTCTTCTCGTTCATCATCGTCGTGGTCCTCGTCTTCGTCCTTCTCTCCTCAACTCACCCGGCAAGTGCTGTCCAATAATTGAATTCAGTAATTAAAGATCAGCGCCGGAACAACCGAATTAAATCCAACAACACCCATCACGTAATTGAAGTCAATCATGTTAAAAGCATAGAAAGATATAGCACAAGAAGAGAAGGAGATAGAGAGCTAGCCACCGCTTTCTCTCATGAAAAATTGCTTAGATTTTGCTGTTCATCACTTTCAGCTTCTCTCATCCATAGATATCATATATATACACATAGACACACACAAATATATGCGAGTACCTCTTAGAGTTACAGGGTATGAAAGGATGGAAAGCTCTCAGACATCATTTTCCCTTCTGCGGTATTGAAAGCTTGCTGAATTTCCTCTCTCTCTCCCCCCCCCCCTCCTCCCCCGTCTCACATACACTTGCACTCACTCACTCTATCTATCTGCGTTATTTCTTTCGGGCTGTGTTGTCGCTCTGTCGCCTGTTGTCTCTTTCTTTCTCTTTCTCTCCTTTTCTTTCTCTTTGTTGCTCTTTGCAGTAAGTGTTTTTGCAATCTCTTCTGGAAAAAGAAAGACGCAACTTACTCGCAACAAAATAATAAAATGAAAAACGTAGCCTTGTGGGGGGCACTCTTATATCTGTTTTTAAATAAACAAACCTCACACGACGCACGAAAAGGACACACTCGCTCTCTCTTCTTCCCCTTCTCTTACACTCTTTTCTCTTATATCCAATAATGTCTTTTTCTTCCCTCTTTTTAACCTATTTTCCGCTGTTAAGTCCTCGCACCCATACAATTTCTGGTATTAATGGAATTTACTGAACATATTCATCGCCGGGAATGACCTTAATTATCTAGAGACTTCAATATATAATTTACGAGCTGAAAGACACAAACTCAACGATGTATGTATAGCCGAGAGGTTTTAATACTTCCAACAAATTTTAGGGAGTTTTTCTTTTTCAAGTGGCGGGAAATGACGAAAGTGCCATCGACCTGGATTTTTTTAATATTATTTTTAAAATAGTATTTTTATTTTGAATACGTCGTTTGGAGATGAACGCAAACTACGGAATAAAATAAAGATAAGGTCAGTAGAAAGTCATCTCAATGATCCAAACTACCACCATCTTTCGACAGGGCGGAATGACGATTGTGCCCCGGGGAATGATTGCGAATCGCGGTAGCCCTCTCAGTTGGTAAGGCTATTTTAGGGAATTCGAGAGCTACGAATTCATTAATAGCCCAATAGAAGTAAGACAGGGAGAGAGAGGCACCGGAGAAGGAGAAGAAGAGAGATCTTATAAAATTAAAAAACAAATAAATATTTTCTTTTTCTTTTTTAAAGGCGAACGGTACAGTAACATGAGGTGGATGTATGGCACGTGCCATGGGTTAGGATGGGAGAAGTTAGGTTTTGTGTGAGAGATCATGGGTAAATTTGTGAAATGTCTGAAAAGTACCCTTAACCGCTTTGAGGTTGGGCCATGTTCATTTTCCTTTTTGGTTTAGCCTTTCATTTTTACAGGTGTTTTCTATGTTTCCCCGCTCCATAATTTTTCTTTAAATTTCGTTTTATTGATGATTTTATAAACACGCACACGGCTTGTTAAGGTTTTAATTTATAATCATTATCTGTGCTTTCTCGATTTCTAGGGGAATTAATTGAATGAATCACCTAAGAGTACGGATTGGCGTTGTGCTAGTAATTAATTAAGCATATATCTCCATGAACTCAAATAGCTTTTTCAATATCTTTACACATAAAGGAAAGCGTGATTAAGCATATATAAATTAATTAATTGTAATTACATGAAAGACATGATTAATAAAAAAAATTGGCATAACAATGAAAATTTTATGTATGCAGTATGAACCAAGAAAGTGGCCTTAGTTTAGTTAGTTTTGTTGAGATCTAGCCCTCTGTTATACATATATAAATTTGCATGCCTTTGCCAAAAATCCAGACCAGTGGTTAAAACTTCATATTGATATAATATTTATTGGCAGTTCGAGTAAAATAAACTTCATATAGTGTTTTTAACTATCATCCTTATCCTTTACTCCCTTGCCCCTCCAAAGCAACTTCACATAAATAATTAACTACTTCAATATATACATATAAATATAATTTTGAATGTTAAGGATTAAAATCAAAATTAGCTAACCATTCAACAGCCATAAATGGGATAAAATATGATTACGCTAGTCATATATCAACCAAAGAACAAGGTATTCGTGTATTTCGTTACATCTGATGGAAAAAACAATCTCCGGATATAATATATTCTTTCTCGATCGAATAATTTGTGCTGAATTTGAAAGGGATACTTTTGTTGTAGAAGAAATATCTTTTCAAGGTGATGGTGAATAATAATAATAATTTAATATAACTGCGAGACATGTTTCCATAATGGTACCAAAAGGAAGATCAATTTTTTTTTTCTTTGAATTAAAATAGCAAACGGCTAGGGTACATGCATGTGCTATATTAGCCATGTGAAAAAGTGGTGTCTGATTGATGTTGCCATCTTAAATTCGAATAACTTCCTCCATCTTTTCCTCATAACACAATTTTCATTTTCCCCCTTTTCCCATTCAGTTGGGAAAATCATTCATATATAATCCATATTCGCTGCATGTGCAACTTCTTCGGTTGTGCTTACCATATCTTTAATTACAAAGAAACCCCACCAATGGAGATTGAATCTAACAAAAAAGGTTAGTTTCACATAACGTGATAAATTAATATTTAAATTCATGTTAAAATAAGAACTCACTTTTAATGCTCAAACGTGCCTCAAACATGATTAACTTTAATAGAAGGACACTTACAAACAATGATTTAAAAAAAAAATTATAGATTTGAGTGATTTCAACTGTCATTTCCCCCTCTATATGTTTTCTTTGTATTTTCTTTTGTTTTTGCTTTTTAAAGAAGGAGAATAGATTATGTGTTGGATGGTTATAATAAGCCAAGGCATTTTTTAATTAATGGTAAGAGCTTGATTACTTGTAGATAATATTATAAATTACAGGTCGAAATTTCATAGGAAAGAAGGTAAGAGAAGAAAAAATGCACAATTTAATTAATAAATACTTGGCAAACATGGATTTATTTATATTAATTGTAGTCGTTGACGTGCACAAAAAACCATAATTATCAAGTGTAGACTTTGATAATTAATAATACATACATAAATTTGTACACGTACGTTATCATCAGATGATTAGATTATAAAAATATATGGTGATGATGTAGATATATGCTAAATGGTTAGCAATCAGAACCAGTATTATAATTAGTAACTAATTAATTAATAGAGTTCAATATATTGGATGAGATGATGAGTTATGAATATTGATTTGGAGATTGACAATTGTTTGGTCCCTTGAAATACAAGTAGGATTGCATGACAGGGAAATATGATTGAAAGAAGAGATTGTCATATTCTAAATGCAACTTGAAGGTTTAATTTAGTTAATCTCAAGACCCAAATCTGCAACTCATTTTACTCAAACACTCAATTGAGAGGGCGAAACAAAGCACACCAATTTGCTTTATTAATTTTTTCCAACTGCTATATAATCTGATTCACCAATTAGAATTGACATCCCAACCTTCTTTTGATGTCACGTGAATCCCACCCTCTCCCCCTCTCGCACGTACCAACTCTTTCCCTAGGGCCCACATCATCATTGCAATGACCTAATTAACCCCTCCTCTCGCGTGCCAAAGTCGGCTCAGCACGTGTCATTAATTTTCTTGCTGTGGCTTCTCCTTCCATCACTTAACACTAATTTTGTCATCCCTCATGTAGGTATTGGTCCTAGTACTGGATGAAATTATACCGTTTAAACACAATGTTTTGAGTTCGTTTGAAGGTAGAAAATACTTTCAAAAATCTATTTTCAATTAGGCCCTATAATATTTGAATCTGATTCCATTAGATAATCATACACACAAACACTCTTTGCCATCGCTCTCTCTATTTCCGTGTGCTTTTTAAAACAATTTTTTTTTTTTAAAGCTCACAACTTCACGTTCCATGTTTCAAGTGCCGCACTGCTTTGGGAAAGTTAGAAGGAACCAGAGCCACCCCTTTGGGTTCTGTTGGTGGTTCAACTTTTCAACTTTAAAGGCCATGTTGCCTCTCTGCTTTGCCTTTTTGGCATCACTATGCGATTCACATATAATTATTATATATTGTTATCACGATGATGATGATTTTTGTTATTAAAAGACAACAACGTTATGGATAATAAACTAATATGTAATAAGTTGCAAGGTTCATGTATAAAGGAGAATTAACATATTACCATCAGCCACCTAAGTGGGTATATCATTTTATCATTTGATTGACACGCAGCAAAGCACAGACACTATGGTAGTTTCCATTTCCATGTTCTCATATTAAAATCCTTCAGCTACTTAGATATGTGTGGGGACCAAAAGTTGACGTGCTTGCTTAATTTCAAGCACATTCTGATGGCGCTGTCTTTCAATTTCAAAGTACGAGCTTGATGGCTTTGTTTGGGAATTGGGTGCATGCCTCACTTAGCATCAATGTCCATCGAACTGAGCATTAATAATATATACGTTTTATTATATATCAATGGAAATTATGGGAGAAACGTGGATAGAGAAGATGGGATTGTTTTGAGAATGATGAAAGAAGATGTGCACCTGTGTGAACCGAACAGGGAAAAAAGAAAAAAAAGATGCCCACCTGCACACATCAATATTGGTGTATATACTATAATGTGATCATTATTGAGAAAATTTGATGGTGGCTTTTTCTTCTGATCATATGATTTGTCATATATTGGTAGTGGTGAAGTCTTAATTCTTCAAGCCCACATTTTCATCGAGACTGCATGATATACGCATCACATTAACTAGGTTGTCTCACTAGTTGTTCTCTATAAATAATGTGTGCTCATTTTTCTTCTTGTTTATTAACTTGTTTAGAATTTTCAGTAAATTTTTTTTCAACCCCAAGGAAAAAATATAAAAAATTTGATTAGTACCGTTTTTAATTTTTTTTATGGTTATGTGATTGAATTAGATTTGAAGACTGTCGAGCCCAATTAGAAATAACTCTTCCAATAATGTTTTCTGTATTCATATACGTTCAAACTCAATATCTCATGCTTAAATTATTATCGCCCATTTTCACTGGAGCCAATGCTTGTTAGTACTTTTTTGCCCCAGTCAACTATATAGGGATATTACATGCAAAAAAGGAAGTGTAATGAATAATGACCCTAAAATCCTATAATCCCTTGTATGAAGACGAGCCGTCGTTCATGTCACAACTTTACCGGCGAAACTTAGCCATTTAGGCAGAGATTAATCCTGCAAGACTCAACCTTTTTGGAGGATTTATAGTCGCGATATGAATAAATATCATTGATGTATAGGTTGAAAAGCATGTGTAATCATACAGTAGATGCATAGTCTATCATATATCACTAACAATACATACACATTTCACCTTCTTTTAGTGCAAACAACTGATCGATGCTGCGTTATTTTCGCGCTCTCATTTCACATATATTACAGTTTAGGTGAATCTTTAGTGAATGCT